TTTTAGAAATCTGGGAATTTTTTAATTTTTTTTAAAGGAATTTTTTTCCTTTTTTTAAAATTTTTTTTTGTAGGATTTTTTTTTGTAGGATTTTTTTATGGAATTTTTTTTGTAGGATTTTTTATGGAATTTTTTTGTAGGATTTTTTTTGTAGGAATTTTTTCTGTAGGATTTTTTTATGGAATTTTTTTGTAGGATTTTTTTATGGAATTTTTTTGTAGGATTTTTTTTATGGAATTTTTTTTTTTTAAGGATTTTTTTCCTTTTTTCTTTTTGTTCCAAAAACCCCAAAAATCAGGAATTTTTTAGGCACAAAGTCGTCCCACAGTGCGGAAAAAAAAAATTTGCCGGTCCAGTCTCTCCGCTCGGAATTTCCGAAGTTTTTTTGTTTTGTTTCGTTTTTTTTCCGGCTCTTTTTTTTTTCCGGGATTTTTCCTCGGGAATGCTGGAATCTCACGCGTCTGGGATTGCGGAATTACTCAGACTTGTCGGTATCTTACAAAAAACAAAGGGGTTTTTATGGGATCGGGGAAATACGGAAGGAGCGGGATGGAGATTTCTCCGGAGCCTCGGATCTGCGGGAAAAGGGAAATTCCAGTCAGGAAAGGCGGTTTTGGGATTATCCCAGGTTTTGGTGATCCCAAAATTGAGTTACAGGGGGAGCGGGCTGCGCCTCCGGAATATCCGAGCCCAATTCCGAGTCTGAAATCCAATCCTAAATTCCAACCCCAATATCCAACCCCATTATCCAATCCCAATATCCAACCCCAATATCCATCCCTGATATCCAACCCCAATATCCAATCCCAATATCCATCCCCAATATCCATCCTTGATATCCAATCCCAATATCCATCCCTGATATCCAACCCCAATATCCAACACCAGTATCCAACCCCAATATCCATCCCTGATATCCATCCCCAATATCCATCCCTGATATCCAATCCCAATATCCAACTCTCATATCCAATCCCAATATCCAATCCCAATATCCAACCCCAATATCCATCCCTGATATCCAACCCCAATATCCATCCCTGATATCCAATCCCAATATCCATCCCTGATATCCAATCCCAATATCCATCCCTGATATCCAACCCCAATATCCATCCCTGATATCCAATCCCAATATCCAATCCCAATATCCATCCCCAATATCCATCCCTGATATCCAATCCCAATATCCATCCCTGATATCCAACCCTAATACCCATCCCTGATATCCAACCCCAATACCCATCCCTGATATCCAACCCCAATATCCATCCCTAATATTAAATCCTAATATTCAGCCCCAATATCCATCCCTAATATCAAATCCTAATATCCTACCCCGATATCCATCCCTAATTCCATCCCTGATATCCATCCCCAATTCCATCCCTGATTTCCATCCCCGATATCCACCCCCGATATCCATCCCCAAATTCCATCCCTAATTCCATCCCTAATTCCATCCCCGATATCCATCCCCGATTCCATCCCCGATTCCACCCCTGATATCCATCCCTAATTCCATCCCCAATTCCATCCCTGATTTCCAATCCCAATTCCATCCCCACTTTCATCCCCGCTATCCCACCCCACCAGGACACCGGGACCACGACGGCGCCGCCGCCTTTGGGATCCTTCGGGGCTATCCCAGCTCAGCTCTGGGATACGGATTCGGGAGCGCCGGGATTTTGGGAACGGGAATATTCCGGAGGCTCCGGATGCCGGCCCCACCTTGTTACATCTGTCCCATGTGATTGGAGGCGTCGCCCATCCCGCCGTGGGGTCCCGCCAGCGACAGCGGCGGAGGCTCCGAGGAGACCTTCTCCTCTTCCCGCCTCTTCAGGCACGCCGCCTTCGGATTCAGGTTCCGTTCTGCGGGAAAAGGGAACCTCAGGGCACGGGGAATGGGAGAATCCCGGCGGGGAGGAGGGATTCCGTGGAGAACTTCCATGGAGAAATGGAGAACTTCCATGGAGAAACTTCCATGGAGAAATGGGGAGCTTCCATGGAGAAACTTCCATGGAGAAATGGGGAGCTTCCATGGAGAAACTTCCATGGAGAAATGGGGAGCTTCCATGGAGAAACTTCCATGGAGAAATGGGGAGCTTCCATGGAGAAATTTCCATGGAGAAATGGGGAGCTTCCATGGAGAAATTTCCATGGAGAAATGGAGAAACTTCCATGGCGAAAAGGAGAACTTCCAGGGAGAAACTTCCATGGAGAAAAGGAGAACTTCCATGGAGAGCTTCCATGGAGAAATGGGGAGCTTCCATGGAGAAATTTCCATGGAGAAATGGAGAAACTTCCATGGAGAAATGGGGAGCTTCCATGGAGAAACTTCCATGGAGAAATGGGGAGCTTCCATGGCGAAAAGGAGAACTTCCATGGAGAAATTTCCATGGAGAAATGGAGAAACTTCCATGGCGAAAAGGAGAACTTCCATGGAGAAACTTCCATGGAGAAATGGAGAACTTCCATGGAGAAACTTCCATGGAGAAATGGAGAGCTTCCATGGAGAAACTTCCATGGAGAAAAGGAGAACTTCCATGGAGAAACTTCCATGGAGAAATGGAGAACTTCCATGGAGAAACTTCCATGGAGAAATGGAGAACTTCCATGGAGAAACTTCCATGGAGAAATGGAGAGCTTCCATGGAGAAACTTCCATGGAGAAAAGGAGAACTTCCATGGAGAAACTTCCATGGAGAAAAGGAGACTTCCATGGAGAAACTTCCATGGAGAAAAGGAGAACTTCCATGGAGAAACTTCCATGGAGAAATGGAGAGCTTCCATGGAGAACTTCCATGGAGAAAAGGAGAACTCTCATGGAAAAAACCCCCATGGAGAAAATTTCCATGGAGAAAACAAAACTTCCATGGAAAAAATGAGACCTTCCATGGAGAAAAGAAGAACTTCCAAGGAGAAAAAGACAAATTCTATGGAAAAAAGGAGAACTTCCATGGAGAAGAGGAGGATTTCCATGGAGAAATTTCCATGGAGAAGAGAAGATCTTCCATGTAGAAAAACACACATTCTATGGAAAAAGCAGAACTTCCCTGGAAAAAAGGGAAACTTCCCTGGAAAAAATGAGAACTCTCATGGAACAAATGAGAACTTCTCTGGAAAAAATGAGAACTTCCATGGAAAAAGGGAAAACTTCCATGGAGAAAATGAGAACTTCCATGGAACAAATGAGAACTTCCATGGAGAAAATGAGAACTTCCATGGAGAAAAGGAGAACTTCCATGGAGAAAAGGAGAACTTCCATGGAAAAAATGAGAACTTCCATGGAGAAAAGGAGAACTCTCATGGAGAAAAGGAGAACTTTCATGGAGAAAAGGAGAACTCTCATGGAACAAATGAGAACTTCCATGGAACAAATGAGAACTTCCATGGAGAAAAGGAGAACTCTCATGGAACAAATGAGAACTTCCATGGAGAAAAGGAGAACTTCCATGGAAAATATGAATACTTCCATGATAAAAATGAGAACTTCCATGGAAAAAAGGAGAATTTCCACACAGAAAAGCACAACTTCCAAGGAAAAACCACCCACCATCCCGCTTCCAACCATCCCCACCACCTCCAACCCCAAATCCCCACCTCCCCCATCCCCCCATCCCGAATTTCCCTCTCACCTCGGACCTGCTGCTCCAGGCTGAGGATGACGGCCACGGCCTGGTGCAGGATGAGCAGCTTGGTCTGGGGTTTGTCGCTCTTCAGGTGGAGCTGCACCATCCTGCCCAGCTCCTTGAAGGCCTCGTTGATGTCGCGCACGCGCAGCCGCTCCCGCGCGTTGTTGGCCATGCGCCGCTCCTTCTCCCGCTCCGCTTTCTGCTCCGGGGTCAGATCCTCGTCGTCGTTATTGCTGCCGGGATAAACGGAATTTGCTAATCGGAGCCGGGGGGTTATTCCCGGTTTTTTTTTCCGGGAGGAATCGAGCGGTTTAGCAGCGGGAAACGATGGAATTTTCTGATCGGGAAAGGTTTCGAGTGGTCAGAATCCAAACGTTCCCGGTCACGGGAATTCCAGCCATTCCAGGGTTTAATCTCACATTTCCATGGCATTATGGAATTTATGTGGGATTATGGAATTTTCTGGTTGGGAAAACCCTCAAATGCTTGGAATTCAAACATTCCCGATCTACCAAGATTTCGATCCCTGTGGGAATGGGAATTCCGGCCTTTCCAGGCTTTAACCTCATCTTTCCATGGGATTATGGAATTTCCATGGGATTATGGAATTTACGTAGGATTATGGAATTTTCTGATTGGAAAAGGTCTCGAGTGGTCGGAATCCAAACATTCCCAATCTACCAAGATTCCGATTCCTGTGGGATTGGGAATTCCGGCCATTCCAGGGTTTAACCTCATCTTTCCATGGGATTATGGAATTTCCATGGGATTATGGAATTTTCTGATTGGAAAAGGTCTCGAGTGGTCAGAATCCAAACGTTCCCAATCTACCAAGATTCCGATTCCTGTGGGAATGGGAATTCTGGCCGTTCCAGGGTTTAACCTCATTTTTCCATAGGATTACGGAATTTTTTGGTTGGGAAAGGTCTCAAATCCTTGGAATCCAAACATTCCTGGTCTACCAAGATTCCGATTCCTGCAGCCCTTCCAGGGTTTGGCCTCACATTTCCATGGGATTATGGAATTTAAGTGGGATTATGGAATTTTCTGGTTGGAAAAGGTCTCAAATGTTTGGAATCCAAACATTCCCGGTCTACCAAGATTCCGATTCCTGCGGGAATGGGAATTCCGGCTCTTCCAGGGATTTCAGCCTTTCCAGGAATGGAGGCACCACCATTTTCCAAAGTTTATCCTCAGGAAATGCTGGAATTTTTCCAGTTGGAAAAAGGACCGTGGAATCCAACCCTCCCCGGAGCTTTTCCAATGCCGTTATCCCACATTCCCAACATCCACGTGGATTCCAACCCCCCCTTCCCAGACTCTTCCAGAGGCTCCAGCTGTATTCCAATTAAAAAACCCGGAATTTAAGGAAGAACAGCCGGATTTTTCCAGACTGGAATTCCAGGAATTTTTTGTTTCACATCCAAAATTTGGGAACGGGATCGGGAGGAGCGCAAGGTCCTGGCAGGAGCGAGATTCCGCTTTTCCCGCTTTTTTTTCCTGTTTTTTTTCCTGCTGTATTCCAATTAAAATCTATGGAATTTGAGGAAGAACAGCCGGATTTTTCCAGAATAGAATTCCAGGAATTTTTCTCCAGGAATTTTTGCCCAAAACTTGGGCAGCGCTCCGACCGGGCATCTCCCTCTCCCGGCCAGGACCGTGCATCCCATTTTTCCCGCTTTTCCCGTTTTTTTTTATTCCCGCTTTTCCGTTCACTTCATCCAAATCCGAGTGGGAATTAAATGAAGCGACACTGCTGGCTCCCGTTACCTAGATCTTGACCTAGTTATGGATTTGATCTCCTTCTTATCCTCTTCCAGCTTCTTTTCCTCGGAAACCTTCGGATCCTGCAGGTTCTCGTCGGCCTCGTCGTCGGATTTGATCTCGGAGCTGCCGGATGAGACGCTCTGCCCTTGGAGAGCCGTGGGAATTCCTGGGAAAAGGCGGAGAGGAGGGGTTTGGGATCGGGGAAAGGGGTTGGGATCATCCCGGAGCCGAGCCGGGTTCTCCGAGCCTCATCCAGGCGGGAGCGGATTTAGGGATCCGAAAATCCCAGAATGGGATGGAAATCATGGAATGGTTTGGGATGGAAATCATGGATTGGGATGGAAATCCTGGGATGGAAATCATGGATTGGGATGGAAATCACGGAATGGAAATCCTGGATTGGGATGGAAATCCTGGAATGGAAATCCTGGATTGGGATGGAAATCCTGGAATGGAAATCCTGGATTGGGATGGAAATCCTGGATTGGGATGAAAATCCTGGATTGGGATGGAAATCCTGGAATGAAAATCCTGGATTGGGATGGAAATCCCGGAACAGTTTGGGATGGAAATCACTTCTCAGCTCATCCCGTTGCTCCAAGCCTGGTTTTGCCGCATTCCAAAGGCAGGCGGATGTGGGAATTCTGGGAATTTTGGGAATGCTCACCCCGGTAGGGATCCTGGGCCGGGGTCAGCTCCGGGGACGTCGCCGATTGCACCGGAAGCGTCGGCACCGGCACCTGGCCGGGCACCAGCGAGTGGCTCCCGCGGAGGCCGACGCCGTCCTCCCGGTGAGCTCCCACCTGCCGAGAGATCCCGGTGAGTCCGGAATCCCGGGAATGCTCCCCCCGGAGCCGCTGACCCGCAGCGTTCCCTGGCAGCCCTCTGCTATCCCCAATCCCAAATCCAGAGCGCTGGATGGGAAACGGAGCCGGTAAACAAAGAGTTCCTGAGCCGTGGGGATGTTCCCGTTCCCATTCCCGTTCCCGTTCTCATTCCTGTTCCCATTCCCATTCCCGTTCTCATTCCCATTCCTATTCCTATTCCTGTTCCCATTCCTATTCCCATTCCCATTCTCATTCCTGTTCCTATTCCCATTCCCATTCCCATTCCCATTCCCATTCTCATTCCCATTCCCATTCCTATTCCCATTCCCATTCCCATGGAGCAGCTCCTGCTGGGATGATCTCATTCCCATTCCTATTCCCATTCCCATTCCCATTCTCATTCCCATTCCCATTCCTATTCCCATTCCCATTCCCATGGAGCAGCTCCTGCTGGGATGATCTCATTCCCATTCCTATTCCCATTCCCATTCCCATTCTCATTCCCATTCTCATTCCCATTCTTATTCCCATTCCCATTCCCATGGAGCAGCTCCTGCTGGGATGATCTCATTCCCATTCCTATTCCCATTCCCATTCCTATTCCCATTCCCATTCCCATTCTCATTCCCATTCTCATTCCCATTCTTATTCCCATTCCCATTCCCATGGAGCAGCTCCTGCTGGGATGATCTCATTCCCATTCCTATTCCTGTTCCCATTCCTATGGAACAGCTCCTGCTGAGATGTTCCCATTCTTATGGAGCAGCTCCCACTGGGAAATTCCCATTCCCATTCCCATTCCCATTCCCATTCCCATCCCATCTCCTTGAGATGGTCCCGTTGTTCCCACATTCCCATTGTTATTCCCACATTCCCGCTCACCATGAGCGTGTGCCGGCTGCCCAGCAGGCCGTTCCCATAACCCATTCCCATTGTTATTCCCATTATTATTCCCATTATTATTCCCGTTATTATTCCCATTATTTTTCCTGATATTATTCCCGTTATTCCCATTATTATTCCCTTTATTCCCGATATTATTCCCGCTCACCATCAGGGCGTGCCGGCTGCCCAGCAGGCCGTTCCCATAACCCATTCCCGTTATTATTCCCGTTATTATTCCCGTTGTAATTCCCGTTATTATTGCCATTATTTTTCCCGTTATTCCCATTATTATTCCCGTTATTCCCGATATTATTCCCGCTCACCATCAGGGCGTGCCGGCTGCCCAGCAGGCCGTTCCCATAACCCATTCCCATTGTTATTCCCGTTATTATTCCCATTATTATTCCCGTTATTATTCCCGTTGTAATTCCCATTATTGCCGTTATTATTCCCGATATTTTTCCCGATATTCCCATTATTATTCCCGTTATTCCCGATATTATTCCCGCTCACCATCAGGGCGTGCCGGCTGCCCAGCAGGCCGTTCCCATAACCCATTCCCGTTATTATTCCCGTTATTATTCCCGTTGTAATTCCCATTATTCCCGTTATTATTCCTGATATTTTTCCCGATATTCCCATTATTATTCCCTTTATTCCCGATATTATTCCCGCTCACCATCAGGGCGTGCCGGCTGCCCAGCAGGCCGCCGCCGTATCCGGAAGCCAGCCCGGCCATGGCTCCGTTGTGGGCGGCTCCGATGATTCCGTGCACGTCTCCGTGCGCTCCGGCCATGGCGGGCGCGGCTCCCACCGCGTGATTCCGAAGGACGTGGATGGCGTCGTCCAGGCGCTCCAGGCGATCCTCGATCCGGCTCTGCTGCGGGGCAAAGCGTCAGCAATTCCCACACTCCCCAATAATTCCCGCATTCCCACATTCCCGAATTCCCGGGGTTTTTTTGTCATTCCCTAAGACGCGAATCCCGCCGGGATTTTCGTGGGCAAAACAGGTTCGATGATTCCTCATGAACGGAAATCCGGCCGCGCCGGCGAAAACCGCGAGGGCTCGGCGGAGTTTGAGTGAGATCCAAAGGAAAATCGGGATTTGGGAAGGGGGAAAAAAAGCGGGAAAAGAAGCGACAGCCGCGACAAAAAGGGGATAAAGGGATTTAAAGGGATTTTCCGTCGCGGTTCCGCTCCCAGCGGGAATTTTCCTCCCTCCCCCCACCGCGGCTGATCCCAGGATCCAACGGAGACGGAGGGAGAGGAACCTCGCCGGGAAGGGTTGGAAAAGCTCCACGGGAGAATTCCCAAGGGTTGGAAAAGATGGGAAGTTCCCAAGGGTTGGAAAAGCTCGACAATTCCGAAGGGATGGGATGGCAACGGGAAAATCCTGAGGGATTTGGGATCTCCGCAGGAAAATCCCAAAGGTTTGGGAATTCGGGATTGCCATGGGAAAATCCTGAGGGATTTGGGATCCCAGTGGGAAAATCCCAAAGGTTTGGGAATCTGGGATCTCCACAGGAAAACCCCAAAGGTTTGGGAATCTGGGATCCCAGTGGGAAAACCCCAAAGGTTTGGGAATTTGGGATCCCAGTGGGAAAACCCCAAAGGTTTGGGAATTTGGGATCCCAACGGGAAAATTCCAAAGGTTTGGGAATCTGGGATCCCAAAGGGAAAACCCCAAAGGTTTGGGAATCTGGGATCCCAGTGGGAAAACCCCAAAGGTTTGGGAATTTGGGATCTCCACAAGAAAACCCCAAAGGTTTGGGAATTTGGGATCCCAGTGGGAAAATCCCAAAGGTTTGGGAATCTGGGATCCCAGTGGGAAAATCCCAAAGGTTTGGGAATCTGGGATCTCCACAAGAAAATCCCAAAGGTTTGGGAATTTGGGATCTCAACAGGAAAATCCCAAAGGTTTGTGGATTTGGGATCTCAACAGGAAAATCCCAAAGGTTTGTGGATTTGGGATCTCAACAGGAAAATCCCAAAGGTTTGTGGATTTTGGATCTCCAGAGGACAATTCCAAAGGGACAGGAAAACTCCATGGGACCATTCCGAAGGGATTGGAGCTCTCCCCATTCCCAGCAGCCACAGGAGTTCCCTGGGAATTCTCGGAAAACACGGAGCCGGGAAAATCCAATCCGGGCAAATTCCCGCCGCTTCCGACCGGGATGGACAAGGGGAGGGATCGGTTCCGCCCCGTCCTCTGCAGCTTCCGCATGGAAAGGGGGAAAATTCCATGGGAATTCCCGCCTGGAACGCTCAGGCCGCCGGAGATTCCAGGAGAGATCCGTGGGATCCCGGAGAATCGCCTCCCTCATTCCAGAAGCGTTCCCTAATCCCGGATCATTCCCTAATTCCAGGAACATTCCCGAATCCAGGAACATTCCCTAATGCCGGATCATTCCCTAATCCAGGAACATTCCTGAATTCCAGGAATATTCCCTAATCCCGGATCATTCCCTAATTCCAGGAACATTCCCGAATCCAGGAACATTCCCTAATGCCGGATCATTCCCTAATCCAGGAACATTCCTGAATTCCAGGAATATTCCCTAATCCCGGATCATTCCCTAATCCTGGAACATTCCCTAATTCCAGACCTTTCCCTAATTCCAGGATCTTTCCCTAATTCCAACTCCGTTCCCTACGGGACATCCCCTCCCTCACATTTCCCCAACAACTCCCGCGCTCTTCCCGCTTTTCCCACCGGGAAAAGAGGGAGGAAGGGAAAAGAGGGAGGAAGGAAGGAGGGCAGGAAAAGGAAAGGAGGAGGAAGAGGAAGGAGGAAGAGGAAGGAAAAGGAAGGAGGAAGAGAAGGAAGAAGAGGAAGGAAAAGGAAGGAAAGAAGCAGGAAGAGGAAGATGAAGATGAAGGAAGAAGAGGAAGATGAAGGAGGAGAAGAGGAAGAGGAAGAAGGAGGAGGGGGAAGAGGAAGATGAAGGAAGAAGAGGAAGGAAAGAAGGAGAAAGAGGAAGGAAAAAAGGAGGAAGATGAAGGAGGAAAAGGAAGGAGGAGGAGGAAGATGAAGGAGGAGAAGGAAGAGGAAGAGGAAGGAAGGAGGGGGAAGATGAAGGAGGAGGAGGAAGGAAGGAAAAGGAAGGAGGAAGAAGTAGAAGGAGGAAGATGAAGGAGGAAGATGAAGGAGGAAGAGGAGGAGGAAGGAAGAGGAGGAAGAAGAGGAAGAAGGAAGATGAAGGAGGAAGAGGAGGAGGAAGGAAGAGGAGGAAGCAGCCAGGGAGGAAGGAAGGAGAGGGTGGCACTTCCAGGAAGGAAGGAAGGAGGAAGAGGAAGACGAAGGAGGAAGAGGAAGGAAGGGAGGAAGGCTCGGGGTGGCTTCCCAGACGTACCAAGGAGTGCAAGGGCCCCTCATAATTGGGCGATGAAGCCGCGGGAGCTCCATTCCCTCCATTCCTAGACCAAACGGCCGTTCCTGCCGAGCAAAACCGGAATCTCCGTTAGGAAAATCCCGCTCCCGCCTCCGGAAAAACCGGAAAAACGGGAAAAACGGCTCATCCCGCTCCATTCCCGGCTCTGGAAAAGCGGGAAAAACGGCTCATCCCGCTCCATTCCCGGCTCTGGAAAAGCGGGAAAAACGGCTCATCCCGCTCCATTCCCGGCTCTGGAAAAGCGGGAAAAACGGCTCATCCCGCTCCATTCCCGGCTCTGGAAAAGCGGGAAAAACGGCTCATCCCGCTCCATTCCCGGCTCTGGAAAAGCGGGAAAAGCGGCTCATCCCGCTCCATTCCCGGCTCTGGAAAAGCGGGAAAAGCGGCTCATCCCGCTCTTTTCCCGCAGCCTGTTCCTTGGGATCGTCCGAACCGGCCCGGAAAAGGGGATGGGAGTCGGGCTGGGCCGGAACTCACGGGAATTCTCTTATCCAGGTTTTTATTATTCCCTGTTTTCATGGGAATTCTTTCCTTATCCAGGTTTTTATTCCCTGTTTTCCATCCTTAAAAATGGATTGGGAATTGTGGGAATTCTTTCTTTATCCAGGTTTTTATTCCCAGTTTTCATGGGAATTCTTTCCTTATCCAGGTTTACTTTTATTCCCACTTTTCTTGGAATTCACTGGAATTCTTTCCTTATCTGGGATTATTTTCTTCCCAGTTTTCCTGGAACTCACGGGAATTCTTTCCTTATCCAGGTTTTTATTCCCAGTTTTCGTGGGAATTCTTCTCTTATCCAAATTTTTATTCCCAGTTTTCCATCCTTAAAAATGGATTGGGAATTGTGGGAATTCCTTCCTTATCCAGGTTTTTATTCCCAGTTTTCATGGGAATTCTTTCCTTATCCAGGTTTTTATTCCCTGTTTTCCATCCTTAAAAATGGATTGGGAATTATGGGAATTCTTTCCTTATCCAGATTTATTTCACTCCCATTTTCCTTGGAATTCGTGGGAATTCTTTCCTCATCCGGGTTTTTATTCCCAGTTTTCCACCCTTGAAAACACGGATCAGGAATTGTGGGAATTCTTTCCCTATCCTGGTTTATTTTATTCCCATTTTTCCTGGAACTCACGGGAATTCTTTCCTTATCCAGGTTTATTTTATTCCCTGTTTTCCACGCTAAAATTCCAGCTTTTCCCTAACACCGCTCCTCCGGTGCCGGCACCGGATTCTCCCGATTTCCCTGATAGTTTTTTTGGGAATTCTCCCTCCGGGCGCGCCGGATCGGGGGAGAAACCCACGGAAAAACGCGGAATTCTCTCCGGGGGAATCCCAAAAAATCCCGGGAAATTCCAAACTTCATCCCCCAGGCTAAAAAAAAAATCCGGGAACGGCGGGAACGGGTGGGGGGAGGGGCGGGGATTGGGAAGAGAGAGCGGGAAGCGGGAAAATTCCGGCGGCTCTTCCCGAAATTCCCCGGAAGGAAGGAGGGAAGCACAGTACCTGCCAGAGAAGGGGGAGACGCGACCGGAGTCGAAGGGTTGGATGAAAAGCTGGTGTTGGTGTGCTCTGGAGAGTAAATCTTTAAAAAATGGGATAATCCGTTAATCCGGGATTCGGGAATAATCCAAACAGCCAAAACGTCGGGAATTCCCGGGAAAATCCGCCGGAAAAAAAAAGAAAAAATTCCCGAGGGAAAAAGGGATTGGGGGAGGATCCCGAGGATTCGGATTCGGTTTGGAGGAAACGGCGTCATGAGAACTCAAAGGAACCCACAGTGCCCAGGAAAGATCGGAATGATCCCGGAAAAAGGGCGGGAGAGCGGGAAAAATCCCGGGATAACGGGAATATCCTGGGATTTCTCTGTCTCCCGATATCCCAAAGCAGGGAAATCCTGGGAATTCTCCGTTATCCCCAACTGGGAATATCCCAGGATAATGAGAACGGGAATATCCTGGGATAACGGGAATATCCTGGAATTTCTCCGTCTCCCGATATCCCAAAGTGGGGAAATCCCGGGATTTCTCCGTTATCCTGAAGCGGGAATAGCCCGGAATAACGGGAATATCCCGGGATAACGGGAACGGGAATATCCTGGAATTTCTCTGTCTCCCGTTATCCCAAAGTGGGGAAAATCCTGGGAATTCTCCATTATCCTGAAGTGGGAATATCCCGGGATAACGGGAAAGGGAAAATCCCGGGATTTCTCTGTTATCCCGAAGTGGGAATATCCTGGGATTTCTCCATCTCCCATCATCCCAAGGCAGGAATATCCCAGGATTTCTCCATTATCCCAAGGCAGGAAAATCCCGGGATTTCTCCATCTCCCATCATCCCAAGGCGGGAAAATTCCGGGATTTCTCCGTTATCCCAAAGTGGAAAAATCCCAGGATTTCTCTGTCATCCCCAATTGGGAAAATCCCGGGATTTTTCCGTTTTCCGTTATCCCAAGGCAGGAAAATTCCAGGATTTCTCCGTTATCCCAAGGCGGGAATTGCAGGGCTCTGAAATTCCAGGAAAAGGAGCCGAATTCCAGGAAATTCCACAGGAATCCCGCGGGAATTCCGTTGCTCCGACCCTTTCTCCCTTAAATCCAACTCCTTCCCAACCCGTTTTTCCCTCATTCCCAAGAATTCCCCTCTGGAATTTTTTTTTCCCGCTCTCCAAATTCCAAATGATCCCGAAAAAACCCCCAAAATTCCCGGAATTCCCATGGAAAAAATTCCTTACGGAAGCGAGAGCTTTTCCCAGCGCGTCTCCGGTCTGAGAACTTCCGGCCGCTCCGCTGCCTCGATTGGCTGCAAAGGAAAAAATTCCAGGTGAAAATTCCCAAAATTCCGGCCGGGAAACGTTCCCGGAATTCCTTTTCCCGTTTCTCTTCCGGAATTCTTTTCCCGCTTGGAAAATTCCCGGGAAAGAAAATTCAGGGAGAGTTTGGAGCTGATCCAGATGGGGGATGGGATGATCCAGTTTTTTTTCCTGGAATTCCGTGGGAAAAATGGGAGCTGGGGAATTGAGGGAGTTTGGGGAGGAAAAATTGGGAGAATTCCTGGAATTCTGATGGGAATTTTGGGAATTTGGGAAAAAAAACGGTACAGCTCATGGAATGATGACCTGGGGATGGGAGAATTCCCGGAATTCCAGAGGGAAAGGAAGGATTTGGGATGGAAAATCTGGGAAAAGAGAGGGAAAAACTGGAATTCGGGAAAATCCCCATGGAATTCCCGCCTTGGGATGGGAGAATTCCCGGGAAAATCGAGGGATGAAGAGAGAATTCCGGGAATAAACCGGGCCAATCCCTCAGAAAAAGACTTTGGCGCTTCCGGAATTCCCGGCGTTTCCGGAAGGTTCCGAGGTGGAATTGTGGGATTTTCCCGGGGTTTTTCCATGATTTTCCTGGGGTTTTTCCGGGTTTTTTCCAGGGTTTTTTTTGGGACTTTCCGGGTGTTTTTCTGGGGTTTTCCCAGGATTTTCCCGGAGCTTTTCCCGGAGTTTTTTCCAGGGTTTTTTTTGGGATTTTCCTGGTGTTTTCCCAGGATTTTCCCAGCTTTTTTCCAGGATTTTCCCAGGGTTTTTTTGGGATTTTCCTTGGGTTTTTCCTGGGGCTTTCCCGGGTTTTTTTCCAGGATTTTCCCAGGGTTTTCCCGGGGTTTTTTTGGGGATTTTCCCAGGGTTTTTCCCGGGTTTTTTTGGGATTTTCCCAGGGTTTTCCTGTGGATTTTTGGCATTTTCCCACCGTTTTCCTGGTGTTTTCCCGTTTTTTTTCTGTGTTTTTCCCAGGATTTTCCCAGAGGGTTTTTTTTGGGATTTTTCCGGGATTTTCCCAGGATTTTTCCAGGTTTTTCCCCAGGATTTTCCCGGATTTTTCCTGGTGTTTTCCCGGGTTTTTTCTGGGTTCTTTCGGGTTTTTTTCTGGGGTTTTTCCGGGATTTTCCCTGGGATTTTTCCAGTGGTTTTTTTTGGGATTTTCTTGGGATTTTCCCAGAGTTTTTCCAGGACTTTCTTGGGATTTTTCTGCGTTTCTTCCGGTGTTTTTCCGGGATTTTCCCAGGTTTTTCTCGTGGTTTTTCCCAGATTTTTTTGGGGATTTTCCCAGGATTTTCCCGGGTTTTTTCCGGAATTTTCTGGGGTTTTTCCCGGGGTTTTTTTTGGGATTTTCCTGGTGTTTTCCCAGGGTTTTTCCCAGGGCTTTTTTTGGGATTTTTCCTGGGATTTTCCCAGGATTTTTTTTGGGGATTTTCCCAGGATTTTCCAGGTTTTTTCTGGAATTTTCTGGGGTTTTTCCTGGGGTTTTTTTGGGGATTTTCCCAGGATTTTCCTGGTTTTATTCCAGGTTTTTTTCCAGATTTTCCCAGGGTTTTCCTGGGGTTTTTCTGAGATTTTTTCTGGGATTTTCCTGGTGTTTTCCCAGGGTTTTTCCCGGGATTTTCCCAGGTGTTTTCCTGGGATTTTCCCAGGATTTTTCCCAGGTTTTTCTCCCGGGTTTTTCCCGGTTTTTTCCCGGAATTTTCCCGTGTTTTTTCCCGGTTTTTTCCCGGAATTTTCCTGATGTTCCCCCCGTATTTTCCCGGTATTTTCCTGTTTTTTTCCTGATGTTTTCCTGTTTTTTTCCCGATGTTTTCCCGGAATTTCCCCGGAATTTTCCTGATGTTTTCCCCGTATTTTCCCGGTATTTTTCCCGTTTTTTTCCCGATGTTTTCCTGTTTTTTTCCCAGAATTTTCCCGGTATTTCCCCGATGTTTTCCCGGTATTTCCCCGATGTTTTCCCGGTATTTTTCCCGTTTTTTTTCCCGGGATTCCGTGACTCACCCAGGCCGGGCTCGGCGCCGTTGGCCGGGGGGGTGCAGGAGGAGGCGCTGAAGTGGGCGGAGCCGCGGTGGAACGACGACATCGGCGGCAGAGCGGAGCCCAGCTCGGCCGAGGAGTGCGACGGATAGCTCTGGAAAATCGGGAATAGCGGCCGGAGTGAGCCGGGAACAACCGGGAATTCCGGGAATGGGAAGCGTCCCGAGCGGAGCCTCCCGGAGCCGGGAATTCCGGGAATGCTGGGAGGGGGAGGACGAGGTTTCCCGGGAATGTTGAGCGGGAAAAACGGGAATTCTGGAATGGGAACGCCGAGGATTTTCTGGGAATGTTGAGCAGGAAAACTGGGAATGCTGGGAGGGGAATGCCGAGGTTTTCTGGGAAAGCTGTGCAAGAGAAGTGGGAATGCTGGAATTTCAAGGAATCCCGAGGTTTTCTGGGAATGTTGCACAGGAAAACCGGGAATGCTGGGATGGGAATGCCGAGGTTTTCCTGGGAATGCCGTGCGGGAAAAACGGGAATGCTGGGATGGGAACACTGAGGATTCCCGGGAATGCCGTGCGGGAAAAGCGGGAATGCCGGGATGGGAATGCTGAGGATTCCCGGGAATGCCATGAAGGAAAAGTGGGAATGCTGGGATGGGAACGCTGAGGTTTTCCTGGGAATGCTGTGCGGGAAAAGCGGGAATGCTGGGATGGGAATGCTGAAGATTCCCAGGAATGCCATGAAGGAAAAGCGGGAATGCTGGGATGGGAATGCCGAGGTTTTCCTGGGAATGCTGTGCGGGAAAAGCGGGAATTCTGGGATGGGAATGCTGAAGATTCCCGGGAATGCCATGAAGGAAAAGTGGGAATGCTGGGATGGGAATGCTGAGGATTCCCGGGAATGCCGTGCGGGAAAAGCGGGAATGCTGGGATGGGAACGCTGAGGTTTTCCTGGGAATGCTGTGCGGGAAAAGCGGGAATTCTGGGATGGGAATGCTGAAGATTCCCAGGAATGCCATGAAGGAAAAGTGGGAATGCTGGGATGGGAATGCCGAGGTTTTTCTGGGAATGCCGTGCGGGAAAAGCAGGAATGCTGGGATGGGAACACCGAGAATTCCCGGGAACACCGTGCGGGAAAAGCGGGAACGCTGGGATTTTCGGGAACACTGAGAATTCCAATGAACACCGAGAATTCCGAGGATTCCCGGGAACACCGCGCAGGAAAAGCGGGAACGCTGGGATTTTCAGGAACGCCGAAGATTCCCAGGAACACCGTGCAGGAAAGCTGGGAATGCTGGGATGGGAACACCGAGAATTCCCGGGAACACCGTGCAGGAAAAGCGGGAACGCTGGGATTCCTGGGACCACCGCAGACTCCCGTTAACACCGAGAATTCCCGGGAATTGCGAGGATTCCCGGGAAGCGACGCTCACCAGGCGCTCGTGGGGGTGCAGGCTGCAGTAGCTGCCGGACTGGGAAATGTGGGAAGAGTTTCCCAACATTCCGCCGTATCCGCCTTGGCTCATCCCGCTGGAAGAGCTCCAGGGGTCGCTGCCGTGGTGCCCATCTGCCGGAGAGAGGCGGAAAAAAAACGGGAATTAACCCCGGAATTCCAGGGAAAAAACAACCTCCCAGCCCATCCACATCCCTCCTTTCTTAGGGGAAAATTCTGGCCTTTTTAGGGAGAAAATTCCGTGTTTTTTAGGGAAGAATTCCTTCCTTTTTAGGGAAAAATTCCCTCTTTTTTAGGGAAGAATTCCCTCCTTTTTAGGGACAATTTCCCCGAGTTTTTAGAGTCAATTTCCCCAAGTTTTTAGGGATAAAGTCCTCATTTTTTAGGGAAAAATTCCCTCCTTTTTAGGGAAGAATTCCCACCTTTTTTAAGGGAAGAATTCCCTCCTTTTCAGAGAGAAAATCCCTCATTTTTAGGGAAAAATTCCCTTCTTTTTAGGGAGAGTTGTCTGGAGTTTTTAGGGGAAAATTCCCTCTTTTTTAGGGAAGAATTCCCACCTTTTTAGGGACAATTTTCCAGAGTTTTTAGGGAAAAATTCTCTCCTTTTTAGGGAAAAATTCCCTTCTCTTTAGGGAGAGTTTTCCCGAGTTTTTAGGGAAGAATTCCCTCCTTTTTAGGGACAATTGCCGAGTTTTTAGAGGAAAATTCCTCATTTTTTAGGGAAAAATTCCCTCCTTTTTAGGGAAAAATTCCCTCTTTTTTAGGGAAAAATTCCCTCTTTTTTAGGGAAAAATTCCATCCTTTTTAGGGAAAAATTCCCTCTTTTTTAGGGGAAAATTCCTTCCTTTTTAGGGGAAAATTCCCTCCTTTTTAGGGAAAAATTCCATCCTTTTTAGGGAAAAATTCCCTCTTTTTTAGGGAAAAATTCCCTCTTTTTTAGGGGAAAATTCCATCCTTTTTAGGGAAAAATTCCCTCCTTTTTAGGGAAATATTCCATCCTTTTTTAGGGAAAAATTCCATCCTTTTTAGGGAAAAATTCCATCCTTTTTAGGGAAATATTCCATCCTTTTTTAGGGAAAAATTCCATCCTTTTTAGGAAAAAATCCCTCTTTTTTAGGGGAAAATTCCCTCCTTTTTAGGGAAATTTTTCCAGAGTTTTTAGGGAAAAAAATCCTCATTTTTTAAGGAAAAATTCCCTTTTTTTAGGGAGAAAATTCCCTCCTTTTTAGGGAGACTTTCCCCAAGTTTTTAGGAAATCCAGGATTTTCCCGGCGTTTTCCTCCCGGAACCGAAGTGACATCGCGGAATTGCCACCTGGAAAAAGAACAACCGTCCCCATCCCACCCCAAAAATCC